AGCAGAGCGCAACCTCCTCAAGCATCATATTCGAGAGTTCACCATGAAATCCCTCCTTCACACCACTAAAGGAGTTGAGGCCACATTAGACTTCCTACGCACCACCAAAATCGCTACTAGAACATGGCACACACAACGAGTAGCCGAGGAGGAAGAGGAAGAGGAAGATGAAGAGGAAGACGAGGAAGAGCAGGATACAGGGCGTGAAACGCAGGGGGCGTACTACAACACACTTTTTCTTTCCTTTGTTATAACCAGAAGCCTTGCTGCTTCCAACAACCAGAGNNNGATACAGGGCGTGAAACGCAGGGGGCGTACTACAACACACTTTTTCTTTCCTTTGTTATAACCAGAAGCCTTGCTGCTTCCAACAACCCAACAACTGTATTCACCACAACCCCCTTCTCACACATGTATTTGGTACAGTTTCATTTATCTGCTGGAGGGAAAACCCCCAGCCGTGCTACTATAGTCTCAGACTCACACAGCACGTTAAAAGGAATAATAATAATAATAATAACGGGGAGTGTTGCGTGAAAATGACATAACCAAGTCTTGTGCCTGAGGCACCAGATAATATGGGTGCCTACGAACAAAGATTGGGGTGTGTGTGTAGCCAAAAAGTTTCCAATCCATGCTGGAACCATCGAGAACAAAGTAGAAAAATTATACCCAAAACCTCAACAAAAAAACAGAAACCGCGTTTTACAATTATCTTGCAACCTTCCAAATAACTTCCTCAAAACCTACGATTTTACCAATCTCACAGCTTTCTCGGTTCTCGGCCGCAAAACTCAATTCAGCAAATCAAAACCTCAAAAAGTACCCCGCCATCAACACCTTCAAAAGCCCACCACAGGCACAAAAGTCTTTCTCAAACCAAAACACTACCTCATAGAATCTAAAGTCTACAAATACAACCTAAAATGGACCCAAACATGTCCACCCTCCTCAAATGGAGCGTCGAAAACTCCTCAGCCACAGCAGCAGACCCCACCGCGCCTCCCCCTCAAAGCACACTCAACCCCGAAGCACTCGCAGCCCTCTTCGGCGGCCCCTCAGACGCAGACCTAATGGTCTCCTCCATGTCCGCAATCACCACCTCCGATCCTGAAGTCACAGTCTTAGACAAAATCGTCGCATTCGATAATTTCGAGCAATTGATCGAGAACTTGGATAATGCGAACAACCTCGGTCCTCTGAATCTCTGGACGCCGTTACTGGGGTGTTTGGCACATGAGGAGGGGGAGATCCGGATGATGGCTGCGTGGTGTGTGGGCACGGCGGTGCAGAATAATGTTTCGTGTCAGGAGAGACTTTTGGCTATGGGGGGCATTGGACCGCTGGTGAAGGTTGCGACGAGTAAGGGAGAGGGGGAGAAGACGAGGAGGAAGGCGGTTTATGCTGTTAGTTCTGCGGTGAGGAATTATCAGCCTGCTATGGATGTTTTGACGGAGGAGTTGGGGAAGATTGAGGAGTGGAAGGAGTTTGGGGGGAAGGTGGATGCGAGTGATATGGATGCTGTGGATGTTGTTATTGGGAAGTTGAGGGAGGAGGCTGCTAAGGGTGTGAAGGCTTGATTTGAGAGGGGCATATCTTGGGTGGATGGAGTATGGGATATATGGTTCGGATTTTGCATTGGGATGGAGTCTGGCGTCTTTATGATATCACGGAATTTTGCAAGGTCCGCAACTTCAGGGGCCTTAGAGACGATTTGATGAGCTACAACGAAGGACGAAACTTTATGGGATATCATTAGAGATAGTGATAGCTTGTTACTTTAAACTGAACTGTTTCTTTCGCTTACAAATTACTCGGAATTTCTGGTTTGACTAATTATTCCCCTATGACAACTCCAGAACATTTTGTTCGAGCAATTCGAAAAGATAGACACATTGTTGAATTCTTTTTTCCATGAATTGCCCCATTACAATGAATCTCATTGCAATATATTCATTACAATTGCCCAAGTCCTGGGCAATCTGAAAATATTCCTTAGGTTTTCTCGCTTGTACGTCACTCGAAGTCTAAAATTTCCTATCCTACAGTAGCTTGACAGCCTTCAACCCTCAAAACAGCGAACCCCCACATCACGTGAAGTAAGGAAGCGGCAGTCCGGTTAGAAAGTTCATGGCAGATGCCTCCAAAGTAGTTCGATGGTGCTAATAGGTAGTCTGCGGGTCCCAGGTAGATGCCAAAGCTTAAATGGACAACATAGTGCACAGAGAAATCAACAATATGGTGCTTCATGCAAAGAATAAAATCATGCGTGTGGTATGGCGGGATGACTTGCCTTGCTGGCAAAAGCTTACCCCACTACGAGCTGGCCTGCCCCTCTTTTCTTGCACAACGTATTCCTCTGAGGCACCGTATTCGTAGCACTTGGAGCACCAGCCATCCATCATGCTGACCTCGGTCGTGGCCGAGTCAAGTCCGTGGCTAAGGAAGATCAACAATTGATCTGACGTACATGGCCATTAATTGTGCTTTTAGTCAGAATGCTTGCGTATTCCGTCTGACCAGAAGCACAAGCGCTGCTCTGTTGCTGTGGTGCAATGGGCGAAGCCTGCTTGGCAGAGCTCTTGTGCTGCCAACCGATTTCTCTGGATAGGAAGCTCTCTCTTAACGCGCGTCTGACGGTCACCACATTGGGATGCCGATGGAGGTGTGGTTTTAAATTTGGTTGCCGACTTGACTTGGAGGTTGCAAAGTGCCAATGTCAATATATCCAAAGGATTCGGGGTTTGTTTTGGGATAGTTGCGGTGTGATAGCGGTGATGCGGAACCCTTGTCTGCATAGAAATGTTGGGGTAGAGACCGGGCTGCTGGATGAAGAAAGTATTGAAAAGCAAATTGCCAGTGCAGAGACTCCGTATAGAAGTAGAGATAGTGAAGAATAAAGAGCATGGGAATCACACCGATATTTACAGCCCATAGCCACCTGACTATTGACTGACTTTCAGCTTCAGTCCTGCCACGCTGATTCACACGCCCATTCTGCTGCCCATTCACTTACCATACCACCTCCATCTTCACCGATTGATGCCATAATCAAACCCCCTCTTTCCTCTCCTGTTTCTCTCTATTGACAATCGCATTGCATTGCCTGCATTGCCTCCATCGCTTCGTCCGCACTTGCCTCCGTCTGATCTTTCTCCCAATTCCAGCCAATCGCGTGGTTAAAAGCAGCGTTGTTGGCATTTAGTGTTCGCTTCGCCTCCCGAACTGGTAATCGCGGCCCACACACCTTCGTGACATCGACCTAGCCTTCCCAACTCAACTTCCATCCTCTCCTGAACTCTCCCTCCTCGACAACTCCACACTGTCAACAGCTTGACCACGGATCTCCTTCGTGCTTCATACCATCATCCAAACCACCATCCTCTCCTCGATATCATCGACGTGAGAGCTTCACCGCCATATCCCACTCAACCTCTTTAATTCGACCCAGGTCTTTAATTCGACGCCATGGAAGGTACGCAGACCTCTTTACCCAGCTCCGACAAATTGTCGGCTGCTTCGATCGGCGCATGAACCGATATGATCTTGAACATCAGCTAACATCTCTCTCCACCTGCAGAAGAAGTTGCAGCTCTTGTCATTGACAATGGGTAAGCTCCTCAACATTCCTCATGCCCCCAGCGGACGACCAGCAGTGGGGCGTTGTCCAGCGAAGAATCTACAAACCCATCAACAGATCTCCTACAGACCTCATCACATATGAAAGAAGATGGTAGCTGACTGATCATGAAGTTCTGGAATGTGCAAGGCCGGTTTCGCCGGAGATGATGCTCCAAGAGCCGTCTTTCGTAAGTTCTTCCCCTCAACACCATGGATTTTAACAATCGCACACCTCTTCGGTGCAATCTTGCGATAGCTTCACTCAATAGCTTGCTGACAACTATACAGCTTCTATTGTTGGACGTCCTCGTCACCATGGGTAAGAAATACCCCCCACCAACTTCCCCGCAATGGTAGCACACGAAGAATAGAAGCTGATAAGGAGTGCAGTATCATGATTGGTATGGGTCAAAAGGACTCCTACGTCGGTGATGAGGCACAGTCCAAGCGTGGTATTCTCACTTTGAGATATCCAATTGAGCACGGTGTGGTTACCAACTGGGACGACATGGAGAAGATTTGGCATCACACTTTCTACAACGAGCTTCGTGTTGCCCCAGAAGAGCACCCAGTTCTCCTGACTGAGGCTCCTATCAACCCTAAATCCAACCGAGAGAAGATGACCCAGATTGTTTTCGAGACCTTCAACGCCCCCGCTTTCTACGTCTCCATTCAAGCCGTCCTCTCCTTGTATGCTTCCGGTCGTACCACTGGTATCGTTCTCGATTCTGGAGATGGAGTTACCCACGTTGTCCCAATTTACGAAGGTTTCTCTCTTCCTCACGCCATTGCTCGTGTTGACATGGCTGGACGTGATTTGACCGATTACCTCATGAAGATCTTGGCTGAGCGTGGTTACACTTTCTCCACCACCGCCGAGCGAGAAATCGTTCGTGACATCAAGGAGAAGCTCTGCTACGTCGCCCTTGACTTCGAGCAGGAGATTCAGACCGCCAGTCAATCTTCCAGCTTGGAGAAATCCTATGAGCTTCCTGATGGACAGGTCATCACCATTGGTAACGAGCGTTTCCGTGCTCCAGAGGCACTCTTCCAGCCATCTGTCTTGGGTCTTGAATCTGGTGGTATCCACGTCACCACCTTCAACTCCATCATGAAGTGCGATGTCGATGTCCGTAAGGATCTCTATGGTAACATTGTCATGGTAAGTTCCGCAATTCGCCAGAACATCTGCAGCCTACTAATTATATCCAGTCTGGAGGAACCACCATGTACCCAGGTATCTCCGACCGTATGCAAAAGGAAATCACCGCTCTTGCACCATCCTCCATGAAGGTCAAGATCATTGCACCACCAGAGAGAAAGTACTCCGTCTGGATCGGTGGTTCTATTCTCGCTTCTTTGTCTACCTTCCAGCAAATGTGGATCTCAAAGCAAGAGTACGACGAGAGCGGACCTTCCATCGTTCACCGAAAGTGCTTTTAAGGTATGTCGTCTACTATCTTCGCATCTGCCCGAATAACGGCTGACTTATTTCTTAGCGTATCGCGGAAAATTTGTGCCTCTTCACGACCTTCACAAATACCATCAGAACGAAGACTCGAGCAAGCCGTATATTCCTCTTGGTATCGAATTCTGCGACGTTCTAATACTCAGAAAAGTGATTCTGCTGGTAGTGATGGAGCGATTCGATGGGAAGCGGGGAAAATCTGGCTTGTCTCCTTGGCTGGCTGTTTTATTTGCTTTGGAGGAGTGGACAAAAATTCTCGTCAGCCAATCAATCGACCCTTTTTTAAATCATTGAAGCATTTCCTTGTTTTTGGGGTTTTCCCTTGTCCTCCGAAGCATGCGGTGTTTTTACTTAGAGAGCAATTAAAATGAAGTTCACTAATACCTTTGATGTGACGTGACTTGATCATTGATTCATCCCGTATTGAGTATTCCGTTGTAGTGGGATCTCTATCTAATCAGTAGGTTTTGTAAATTGATGTATCAATTGAGTGGTGGGGTTATTCCAGCAGAAGCAACCTCGGGTCCGGAGTTTCCCCCAGGACCAGGGGGGGTACGCGAACGACCTTGCCGTTGTGGGAGGTTCATTTCCGGGCATTCATGGACAAGTCGAATGGAGGGACCTCCCACTTCCACGTGGGGTTGTATTGTAATCTCATATCTATTGCCCTTTTTTGTATTATCGGGGTGGTTTGTCTTGATTGGGAGGTTAGGTGGGATGGATGTATGGAGGATTTATGGGGAAGGGGGATGGGGTGGTATTGTGGTGTGCTGGGAGGGAGGTGGGAGGGAGCACCAGGGAGTTAGGTAGGTATATATATAAAGGTATCTTTCGTGCTTTGATCTTGGGATTATAGAGTAGAGTAAGTGACGTTTTTACTTTACTTTGCTATCCTTGTTTTTTGGTGGGTTTTTGGTTGTTGATTGGGCTGTTGATTTATATATTTATTTATTGATATATTGATATATTGGGTTGGGTCGATATGAAGGGTGTCAATGCTGTTGTTGTTGTTATGGGGTTGGTTCTTGGTGGGAGTGCTGGTGTGTGTGGTGAAGTGAACCCGGTGTATTTGAGTCCGGTGCAGGATTTGGTACTTCCTGTGGTTGGGAATGGGGATGGGGATGGGGGGAATGGGGGGA